GTCGAGGGATGAGTGAACCACTATTACCCAAAGCAATCGCAGCCTGGGCGCAAGCCTACTTTTACGCGGGCGTCACTTTTTCTGCCATATGCGCAAAAACAAAACCTTCATCGCAGGACAACCTGTCACAAATGTAGCACAAGTTAACTGTATGGTGCCTTTTTCAATATGACCTCATTTTGTTGTGCGATAAAACAGTGTACCTTTATCCATTCCTTATGTCAAGTTGATTTATATATAGGCCTGGGGGGGATAAGTGAATCCATGTTTGTAAATATTTTACCACAGCTTTTTGACAGCCCGTGTTGCTTTGACTCTTTTCATTAGGCTATTGGTGCAAATCCATTAACCACCTTGAGCTACTGATTGTCCTACCCTCTGATTTAGGCTACTTGTATCACACTTAATTGTATTTTTGTCTTATTTATTTTAGCAATGTTCTATATATTACCAGACGTTATTTAAATAAAAATGTTTTCTGTGAATATGCATCCCTCCTTTTCTTTCCACAAATGTTTTCTGTGCACATGCATTTCTCCTATTTCCCCCTTGACAGTCATTTATGGATAACTGGGGAGAATTTGTGTCGTCTTATTCGTTTTGCAATGAGACTAATACTGCATAGGGACTGTTTTCATTTTAAAATAATATTATTCTAGCCGGCTTTATTTTACAGCACTGTAGGCTAGGTATTAAAGCGTACACCAACGCTTGCATAATGTTCTCACATCAAATGGCTTTATTTCAGAAAATGATAATGTTGCTTAATATTACACATTTTACTTTGGGAAACTCTTAACATCTTAAATGGAGCCGGGCTGCAGCAAACATGTTATTGTGATTTATTTAAACTACCTGTAGTTTGCTTGCAATATACTAGCCGATAAACGCACACCTGTAGCGAACACAATCAATTGCCTTATTGCGCTTACCTCTGGTTGTGTTGCTGACAACCATCTTAGCTTCGCTGTAAATTAGTTGGATTTTAAGCGATTTCTTAAGTGATACTAGGTTGTTTTAATACGCTACAAGAGCGTATACGTGCTATCAAAAGCGAGGGCAAGCGTGAGACGATTCCTCGGCTGTCTATTTTACCCGGTTCAGTCCGCACATGATTAGCGTTAGCCGAACCGGAGCTCGTTCAGGCAGGCAGGGGGCCCGGGGCGCAGCCTCAGCAGAGGGGGGAGGGGGGGGGGCAACACAACAACACGCCTTGGCATGCGAGATGGGAAGATGAGGGTGGGTATGAATGAGTACAAGCTCCTCAGACTCTGTGGAGTCAGTGAATCGCTTTCCAGACGTTTTATGAACTCAGCCTAACAAGAGGAACTAGTTCCAAGACAGCCTGGAGCTACAACATCATGGAAACATTTCTCACAAGTAGGCCAACGTTAAAGCCTCTGATCTCTCTGAAGACGAGCACATTGACCTACATTATTTATGTGGCTCACAGGGCCCGTATAGGCACACGTCCAAAAACTACATGTATTGCTGCCAGTAAAGTCTGTTGTATTTGAGCTATTTTGACTCCGATGGATAGATATATGAGGGGGGGAGGGGGGGTATTATTAATACACAGTCCCATCACTTAGTTCTCATTCATGATCATCACTGTCTTACCCACACTCATCCCTTCAAACAAGCACGGGCCATCAAGTGGGATCGTTTCCTTGTAGCCTACATAATTAGGACTGTAGCTTGTCAGCGGTTGCTAGATCTCTATGATGGAGCTGACAGGATCATATCCCAGGCATGCAGCAGGTCTGCTGTGCGCCAAAACATTACATCGACATATACATAGGCCTGGATATACCTTTGAGTGGACATTTGCAGATTTAATTTGTCTATACTGTTACTCAGAGACTATAAGTGAATAGGCCCTCGTGATAACTGGACTGAAATATTACTAGCTGGTTTTCACTTATGAGTGATTACTTAGTTACGACAGCTGTGAAGTTATCAGCACAGTGAACAATACTGTTTATCGATTTCGTCCATTATAAAAAATAAAATAATGATGATTGAATATTGTGGATGTTTTATGTTGCCCCATGTGACTTCCTTCATTAATTAGAGCTACTGTGGTTTATAGGCCCACTTCTGCATTTCTCCAGCTAACTTGTAAATGCCATAGGCTACCCCCTATCCTAATTTATACCCTGATCTGCAATTTCAATCACATTTGCTCTGGTTTGAGCATTGGCTTTCAAATATGAAAGCCTGCAATTACTATATAATTCTTCGCAATTTTAGATGTCCTAATATGGGGTGTTATTTTTTACACAAGACAATTTCCCGCTATTTCAAGCATCAAAATTGTCAAAGTTGAATGTACATAATAAATGGGGATATCAATGCATACTTTTTAGTCTAACATCTTGACTCAACGATAATTATATCCGTGTGAAGCCTACGCAGATTTAGCCTGAATTGCATGGTAACTGCTGCTTTAAATAACAAAAAAAATACTCATAATTTACCCCAAAGATTACCAAGATCTCGAGTGCACAATGTCATCAGCGTAATGAGGAGTAAACATTTATGCTAATAATCTACATTTTTTCTCCCAACAGCTATAAAGAGGGGAAATAAAGCAGACATTTTCAGTCATATTCTGAACTCTGCTGCTATAGCTTAGACCAACACATGGGACACATTTTGTGGGATTTATTCGCTTATCTTGTATCTGCTGCAGGATGCTGCTGCTCATCTTCCTCCATGCAGCTTTCTGCGAGAGCTTGCCTCTTCATTTCAAGCAGAGAGGTGTGTATTAAATGTTTGTATCTTAAATATTCATTGAAAGTATAGAAAAAACAGGAAACAGGCTTGAATTTTGCTGATTTTTCATGGTATCAAACTATTTCTATGACTGGTTGGTTCATTGTGAGTAAAATCTTAGGCTGGATATGTTTTTTTATTTTTTTTAAGTCTTCAGTGTGCTCATTTTGTGTGGACAAAAAGTCCTATAGCAAAGAAAGCTGTCGAGAGGATGTAAGGAAGGGGAGACACACAAGTTGTTTTTTAATCTAGTCGCTGCTCTCATTACTCTTACATTGTGCTTTGCTAATTTTGAGGCCTCTTCGCATTGAAAACTCTGTGACGTACACCTGCAAGCAATTTGCCAGCCTTACACATAAGCTAAGTCTAAGGGAACAGTGACGAAATGGCAGCTCACCTATTTCGCTTCTTTCTATTTGCAGCAGCACATTTCTTTCAGAGCACTATCTCTTTTGTCAACGCAGAAAGATCCTCCGTGCGAAAAAAAAATGCTCATAATTACCTCAGAGATGGGGAAACTGCATTAGAATAAATAAGGGCGAAATTACTGTAATTATGCTGGGTTTGATGGGCCCAGCTCGTATAATCAAGAGGAGAATACAGCGAAATAACGCTGACCCTCTTGATGCAGCTGCGCCTTTCTGGGGCTAGGTATAGGCAGAATTATGTTCACTGCAGCAGCAGCAGCACAATTCATACTCTTTCTTAATGGTATGGAAATGTGGGCCTATTCTCCTTCTGTGGGCAAAGGACTGTATATGTCCTGAGTTTTTTTTATTAAAATAACAATAGAGACAGGTCGAAAGGGATGTTAAGGAGTGGATAATATAAACTAGGCCAAAGCTGATTTCTTTTTAGTCTTTCTGAAGCTGAATGTTTTTCGAATGTGATGGTTGCTGTATCAAGACTGCACCAGCATTTATAAAATAATAATACTAAAAATAATCCATCATGATGGTCTGATTTGTCCTTTTAGCAATGAATAAATGAGACAAATGAGAAGAGAAGTAAGTTATTGGTTATGATGTGAGGTATATAGGCTGGACCGTGTAAAAGCTGTTTAGCAGACCTCACAGATTGCATAAAATCTGCCATTACAATTGCAAAACATGTGTATATTCATAGAGACATTGAAGCTGGATGAGAGCGAGTTGGCTACAAGTCGTGCATCTGAATGTCTTTGTTTCATTCTTTGTTTCTTTGCAGGAAAAACATTAACATTTCCGATGCATTGTTTGAATTGTTTTCCCGAATTTTTCGCCCTATTAGAACAATTTTTCAGTTTTGTTGTTTTTTCACCTATTTTCTTCATTATTATTGTTGCATGTAAGCGTTCGGTACGATATTTGAACGGACAGGTTATTCCACTCTCTTTCTTTTGGCATTTAAAAAAAACAACATGAATAAACTTGAAGCACAAAACACATATTTAAAATTCATATTCAACCAAAAAAAGGCGTACTTCAAGTTCGTGAAACTAGAGTTAATGAATAAAGTGTGAAGTTGAAACAAGAAGGCCTTTGAACTTTTCACTTTCACTGATCTCCATCTGATCCGCCCTGTGTCCCGCGTGCTCATCCAGTCTTTTGCAGCAGCACCTGCCTCTTGCGCGATTATTCACTTAACACACACAATTGATCTCTCCCTTTCATGGCACAAAATGGGGATTGTCGGAAGACAAATTGTAAGAAGATTATCTTTAAGAAAAGCTGAAAAGAAATAAGCGACGTTAAATGAATCCAGGTCTCCCGCACCGCGACGGTTAAATCCCCCAAAAATGCAGCTCATATCGGCCAAATGATTCCCAGTGGTTCTTGCCTTTTTAGCTGATGTTCTTTTTTTGTAGAGGCCAAGTACAAATTATTTACATAGCCCGTTTTATAGATTCTTAGATATTTGTTAGATTCAACGCCAGATTTATAGAATTATTAGGTCACCCCAGATGTTTGACAACATCTGCAACCAGTGAGCAGCAGCAGCAGGAGCCCAGGCGAAATGCTAAACACGACCATAAATCTAAACGATGAGCCTTTTGCAGCTCACACGGTGTCTGCTACAATAACCAACATGATACTGCTTTGTGTCAGCTCACATTAAACCTGCACCATGCTGAAGCCTTTCTTTTCACATGAGATGAGGATGGAGGAGTGAAGGGGGGTTCAATCAGACACCTTTCTTGACATAATTTAAATCATTATTTTACTGCTTTTGAACCTTTGCACATTATGTACGTAAACTTCAGAAACAGATAAATAAATTAAAGTGATCAATACAAAACTAAATATGTTCTATGTTGACTAAACACATCTCGACGAATACAGAAAGCCTAAAACCCTGTTTCACAGCGTATCCAGTATACAGCACAAAACAAGTCTGAAAGTGATATACAAAATACAGTAACAAATGAGCTGCTCACCCTCAGAATATTTTTTTTTGTAAAGCAGCAAATTGTTAGGCCTTTTACATTTTTCACATAACATCGGGGCACGGCATAGAAAAGCTTTGCTTGCGTTAGTGCAGCATTAACAACACAGTGTTGTAATTTCAAAACACACTTACAAAATGAACACAGACTGACCTCAACAGAAAAACTAGTCTGAATAATTTAACTTAAATAACAAACACATAAACAACATAGTAGCGAGTTGAGGCTTTGCACAATATGCCCTGGGGGTTGAGTGTGCTGAAAGTATAATGGTGGAATGTATTAATTATCATTATTTGGTAAAAGAATGAACCTTTAACTGTTACTGAATACAGATTGATTTCAGGTCATCATCACTTTGGGCCCAAGATCTGGTGTAAACAAACACGTGTTTTCTTACAAACAGAATAACTCACACAAGTATAATTTAAAAAAAAAGAAGAAGAAGAAAAGAAACTGCCACAAAAGTGATAAACAGCAGCTAAAAAAAAGATCCATTGGTCTACGATTTCCGCTGACTGTCACAGACTTGCTGCCCTTGGGCGCTTTGCGTGCCTTTTCAGCCTCTTAGCTTCCTGCTTCTTCTAGCTGCTTGCCGTCATCCGGTATGAAGAGGCCACTGTGGCGGCATGCGACAGCAAACTCCCGGGTTGTTGTTGTTGTTGTGTTATCAGTGCTGGGCCGCGCTGAGGCCCCTTCACCATCGTGATACACGAGCCGTGGCAGAGTCGAGGGCTGAGGTCCCTGTTCACATGAGCTGTGACTGTTGCATAGACTCTTGGTGTGCGGTTGGATACCATGAGGTGTAGCTGGGAATGTAAGATCCGGTTGTCCCCACCGAAGTCTTCACGGTGGTCGGCGAGCTCCAGACAGGTGCCACCGAGGGTGAACCGCTAGACAGTCCGCGGCCGGTGGCTAAAGCGGCGGCGTCAATTGTTCCCCCACCTTGCTTCATCAGTTTCTTGAATTTAGAGCGCTTATTTTGAAACCAAATCTTCACCTGGAGAGACAAAGGAGATTATTAGAAAATGTACTGTTGTAAAAGGATTTGGCACTTTTACGCACGCAACAGGTTTACTTGTACAAAGTCAAGAGCAAAATATTTTTTTAATAGGCCTATATCAATCCTGCCCTTGATTATAAAAGGCTATTACTGTATTAAGATGTCATTGAAATTAACACATGAGTGACAGGAAACAGAATTAACCCATAACTTGGTGTCAAACAATATTTCATTGTTTGATGAATGGTTTTCATTCATAATAATAATAATAATAATTGCAATAATAACAATAAAAAATAAGGCCTGTTGTGGGGGGAAAGCATTCTAAAAGGTGTAAAAAATAAAAAATAAAGGCTAACGGTGCTGTTGCAGAGTGGAGCTAGTCTTGAGTGTGTTTCATGGACTTGCCTGTGTCTGAGTGAGACCCATCGACGCTGCAAGCTCAGCTCTCTCCGGTAACGCCAAATATTGAGTTTGTTGAAATCTCCTGTTTAGAGTTTGAAGTTGTAAACTGGAATAGATAGTCCTTGGTTTTCTAATCTTTTTCCCTTTACCGTTGAATCGAACCTCTCCGCCTTCGACCACTGTGTTTTTCTCTGCTTCTGGCGCTGAGGGAGAGACGGAGAAGAGAACAAGAATGAGGAGGCAGTTGTATAGCCAACAGTGCTGCGCAGCTTTGAATACTCGCTGCAAGTTTTACAGGCTGTACTTTAGGTATAATTACCCTTAATTGCATACATTGTTTATAGCGTTACGCAATAAATAATTACCAAGCCTAATTCCAACATCTGGGTCGTCTTTTCGCTGCAGCCAGGACTGTATACAGATGAAAGCCGTGCCAACATAGAAAGTTCATATTTAGGATCCAAAGATGCTGCTGCACACTTACCTGTCTCCTCTAGCCGTGTCTGTGTGAGCGCCGAGCTGTTTTGGTAGGTCTGTACTGTGCTGAGATATGGACTGGTGGAATGGCTGCCGACAGAGTTTACGTATGGATAACCCAAAGATCTGGGGAACGACGAGGCTGGACTGTAGCTGTCGTGCTGGGTATGACCTGCAGAATGTAAACAGTGCATTGGATAGTGTCCGTGAGACATGGAGGAAGGCGACATTTGTTGACTCGGGGATCCAAACTCCATGAAAACGGTTTTTCCTGAGGCAGGGCTATTAAGACTTTCTGGAATCGTAGTCATTGTCATCTCTTCTGACGGTTCCCCTTGTCTTGCTTTTGTTGTTTTCCTTCTATGATCTCAGTGAAGGATGGGTCCCAATTTAAGCCGAACTGATTTTTTCTGTTTCCATTCATAAGAAAATGTAGTTTGTGCCTGTGAAAAGTCCTAGGTATGATGCTGTGGACCAAGACAAACTCGCTCAAAGGTTTGAATCTCGGACTCATGAATATTCATCAAAGACTGTCGCTGATTGGTCCACTCTCTCCAAGAGGGAAGCCGATTGGCGACGCTGGGGCTGGGTCCGAAGAAGCCGATAAAGTCAAGGAAAACCACAAACATCTAAGACACCCCTTGACATGTCAAGATTCGCCATCATTATTTTTGTTAGTATTATTATTTAGAAATCGTGAAATAAATAATAATAATAATCAATTGTTTACTAATATTGCATACCATAAAGTGCACCTGATCCACGTTTGTCTCAGCGCTATCCAAATTTGTAATATTTAATAAAATACCGTACATCGGAGCAGCACTGGATAATACGGTACAATCAGGTTTGTTAATAAAATAAAAGTGATCATCGTTTATTAATGTTAAATAATAATTTCCAGTCTCGTTAAAGCTACTCTCTGTTTGATTAAATCTTTTTAGATTAAAGCTCTATCTGGAGGAAGGTGTATTAGCATAACACTAGTGTTCAATTTTCATAAGTAGGCTTGTAATTGGTCATGTATTTAACACTTAGGTCTCAGTTACATCTGGCTGCACGGGACGATAAAACAGTTCTGCATTGATGTCAAATTAGGTTTATTGGCTCGCGTTGTTTAACGCCTGAAAACATACAACGACATCAATGCCTACAAAATAGCCCATAACAATTTCTGAACAACAGAAATTGTCTAAGTCCATTTTAAACAGATTTGAAAAGGCAACTGTTTTAATTATGGCTTTCTTTCATAACAATATATATAGCCTAACCGTGAGAAATTGTTTGTTGTATTATGTTTCTTCTCACCGAGCTAAATTGTGTTGTAATGAATGCACGCAGGCCTATTTTCTTATCACATTTAAATGCTTTCCAAACGACTTTACGCACCTTCTATCGCAATCAATTAATGGTCACAGTTTTGTTAAATCCTGACACGTTTGATTAGCATGAATCTAAGCGAGGATGGGGGGTGCGGCCAGCCTCCCACAGCCTAACAAAGAATAATTATCCATGGTCATTTGATTTAATTGAACTGACGACTGACAGAAGACATTTCTTCTTGAGCTGCAGGTTTAGACCTCCACAACTCAATAGCTCACATGGAACAGGGTCACTGCTGCAGCTGTAGAGTTTAACCAGGCTATATTCAAAAAATAAGATATTCATTTCAATCAGCAGCTGAAAGCAACTTACTTTGAAAATCACGTGATGGAAAAGAAGCAGATAAATCCACGCCATTCTGGGTCAAAGAGCCTCCGCAGGACGCACTTGGTGAAAGAAGAAGAAAAAGAATAAAGTATCCAGCAGTTCTTCATTTCATTAGGATTCATTTGCAGCCTGCTGCTCTTGTTCTGGTGTCTGTGCAGAGCAGAAACACAGCCTGGCTGCTCCATCCAGCAGTCCCTCCATCTCCACCTGAATAACAAATTAAAGGCAGTTAAATTCCGTCACAGTGATTATCAGTGTAATTGCATAATCGAACTCAGAACAGAACTAGCAAGTTGTAAAACGTGTTACCAAAATGCAGGCGCTGGCATCATGGACACGTGCGCCACAGTGTACCAGGCGGCTGCGGGTGCCTGAATTTAAAGATATCTGTGCAATATTATAAGCTGGCCTTGTCCCCTAAAATAGGCCAATTTGAAGTGATTTCTCTGGAATTACTTTCGAAAAATGCTTCAAGATTTCCTCCATCAACAACGACAATGATAATGGTAGTACAACCAATAATTATCATCTTCCAGAACAGAGGACTGATTTTTATGGGTACTTGGTGGGTGCGACTGATAACTGTCATTATTTTTCCCACGATTATAGTATCTGCAAATTGACACGCGGCTGTGAGCAAACCATTAACAGAATAGAGGTAGAATTTGCAGAACATGGTAAAATAACTCAACGAGTATACTAATAATAGCAATAATAATGACAGGCTTTTTGTTGAAGTCAATGAAATTTAGGGCTGAGCAGAGTCACAGAATGTATGCTGCATATATCATAGTTTTGCAAAATATCACATGAATTAAGCAAGTGTTTATTCGCAGGCAACCTAAATGATCAACTATGTATGCGAGCCATTTTCTCAAGCCATCCTCATTGTCATTAGGATGAGCAGACGGGTGATAATATTACCACTTTAATTTATAATTTGACTCCTCTGCTCGCGGCAGGAGGGCAGCGCAGGCCACAGCGGTCCGTCCTGCAGCGTGGCAGCATGGGCTTGCAACTAGCCGCACTAAAAATAAAGTCCTCCATGCATGGATGGAGCGCAGAGGCAGGACTCATTAGGAGTGAGTAGCTCTGTGGCTGAGGGTGTTTTAACACCTGCTGCTCTTCACCTGAGGGTTAGTGCAGAGGTGGAGATATAGAGAGAGGAGGGGTGCGGAGGGGTAAACGGGCCAAGATGTCACAGACTTCATTTCAGTCCGGTGATCGAAAGCCCTCCTCAACTGCCATGCCAACCCACATTTTCACAGCCACCAAATATTATCCCGACCGCGGTGCATTGGTAAACTGTGTATCCATGCTGTGTGAAAGCACAGCTCCGCGGGCACCCTGCAGACTCTGCATGTGAGCAGTGATTAATTATTGTCAATGGAGGTGCATGGAGTTTTTTGTTGTTGTTATTGTTGTTGTTTCCCTTCATTATAGAGGAGACGAAATGCAGGTGTATATGTTTTTATTTGAAGCATTTATGTCAGTTCTTTTCCAGCTTTAGGTTTCTGGTGACATTTGATCATTTCTGGTGATTTTCCGTCTGCAAATAAAAAAAAGAAAAGGTTTACATTTCAATAATTTCCCTCAACTTGTATAAGGTATCTCTTAGATGCATGTACTCAACATCAAGATGCATAAATGTAACTATCTCAAATATACTAATTCATAGTAAAAAAAAAAATGAACTCCTCTCTCGTGCTTTTTGTTTTTTTTCTGAAACTGCCCATTATGGACATTATTACCACATGACCTCAGCTACAAATGCAAATGTAATTCGTTGAGTGCCTTCCAGCAAAAATGTCTCATTTTATGAAGGTTAATTTCACATTTTTAAGGCAGTGGATCAAACAAGTGAAATTGCCTTTTGTTCTGCTTCCTCTTTGGCTTTTTAATTTGCAGCAGCGTCAATAAACGCAAACTAGATGCACTACAATCAACTCGGTTCAATGTCTATTTTCATGTTCAATGTGGCATCAAGATGTGAATTGATTTTGTTTACTGAGTACCACGTAAACAAAAAAATAGAATCATAATATCGGAGAAACAAGATCGTTATAATGGTTAATTGAATGCATTATCATAAGGGCCAGAGGGGGGAATTAAATTTAGATATTTTCTTTTGTAATTGTTTTCAGAAAAACGAGGAATAAAATGTATTTCTGGACAGTCAAAACCAAATGTACTGCCTCACAATATGTTATAATGCTAATCATTTTTTTTGTATTAAGTGCAAGCAAGGTAACAAAGAATGACCTTTTGTTGTTGTTGTTTTTTAAAGACATTTTTGTCCATTTGTTCTATTTTGACTTCTAAATTAAAATGAGTGTGTTTCTTATTTGATAATAATTGAGTCTTGGTAAACATCAGGAAATGTCCATAATGTATTATCTGAGTCAGGTTCAACTCTGGTTTCAAATGTTGGTGTTTTGATTATCTGGATCACATATTATGCCTTTAATAACAACTAGAAAGTGTAATAATTTCATTTATTGACTGCCAAAACATGTTATGATGTTTTCTACAACAATTAAATATTGAAACAATGAAAATGTATTGTTTATTTTTAATTGTGTGAAGTATATTAATAGTTTTGTTTGTTTTTAGGCATTGGTGACTGCAAAGAATCAGCATCATGGTTGGAATGTATACTGACCAAAGGCCGCTGGGGCTCCAAACTGGACTTGTTGCTGTCGATGACTTAGACTGCATTGAGTGTTGAAGCCTGGTGACAATAGAAATAAGGAGCCATTGACTGTGACAATGAATTAAATACAAATGGGAATGGTTTTTATCCAGCTTTTTCCTTCATCATTTTTTGTCCTTATCAGAAACAAATCATAAATGGCTTATTTTGGACCTAAGTGACTCTTTTATCCATAGCAAATTATATTTCAAACAGCAAAAACTTCTCCTGTGGGTGAAAAGAAATACTCTATAATAAACATGTGGACTTAAAGGTCATTGCAACCCCCCCCCCCCCCCCCTTTTAGTGTTCAGAGCAGCTCTCTCCTCAGAAAGCTGGGGGCCACAGTGTGGAAAAGCCCCCAGTGAACTAGTAGAAATGCTGTCCCCATTACAGCAGCAGCAGGGGTCAGGCCATGGCAGCAAGCATCCAACCTGCCCAAAATTGGCTGCAAAATGACCAATTACCTGAGTGAAGGCTGGGGAGAAAGGACTTGGAAAAATATGGCTTTTACTTAATTCAGCTAAACTGTAAAAGAAACTAGTGTCACATTGACGCTTCATGCTCGCTACATGTTACAGTATCTCAACCTGTCAAGATCTGGGCATAAAATTGTCAAATGATCAGAAAATCCATTTTAAAGGATAATCGAAATTTAATAAACTTTGAGTCACATAGTGATGTGAGAGCTGGATTGCAGGAATATAATCCATATAACATAGCTATAAACTGGGGAATTATTTCACCAACACTACAACAACAATTGATTAAACATCTTTACATGTAGGTCTTATTGAATTAATTTCCCTGCAAATGGAAAACATGCAAATTCACCAATTAAGTCATTTGCCCATGGACAGCCGGACTGCTTGACGTTCAGCTGCCACTGCGCCTTTAGTCTGAAACCCCTTTTTAGTTTTTGTTAAGAGTTAAGTCTCCAACAAAGACGGGAAGGAGGTCAGCACTCAGCCAACACCTGAATGCGCCTCTCTTTTTTGTGCTCCCCTTGATCCCCACAGTCTGTGCCTGTCATTAGACTTAATGATGG